ATGTTCTTGTAAGTAGGTGTACCAAAGTGACTCCTATGACATTTTCATAGAGCTCATTATCGCATTGAGCAACTCAGACAATTCTTGCATTTCTCCCTTAAAACATTTCCATCCTTCAATAGGCATATATATTGTCTGACTACTATACTTTAGTTCATCTTTAGTCATACATTCACCTAAAGATTTCTAGATTTGGGATAAAGGTTTAATTTTGATCATCGTCTCTAGTGGTTAAACTTCCCAATACAATTCTTCTTGCATGTCTGTCATTGAATGGACTTTAGAAATAACTCTTATATCTTTCTTTGATGTCCTGCCTGGTTAACAGAACTTTTCCATCTTTATTCTTGTATTTTTCTTTATCCTAACTTCTTTCTTTCCTTAGCAAGTTTGTATGTTTTCCCGTCCTCATTTTTGGTGCCTAAAGATTAATATTACTTCTCAAAAGCTTTGGCTTTTGCCTGGCTAACTGCCTACGTAGTTTTATTAGTCTTAGCTTCTCTTCCCAGTTTTTAGCACTTCTACAAAAGTGCAATTTTTCGGGGGGTTTATTTTTGTTTAAAAAGAATTTATCATTTGCTTTGATCATAAACACGATGTGATGCTAGAAGGTACCATTCTCCAAATTGCTAAGCTTTCCTCAATAGTTCTAAGGATGGTGTACGCCTACAACTCGTAGGCCGGTGGACTCCTCCATAGAAGCTTTAATGCGAAATGTTTAAGAAGGGATTTTAATTTGTTTTTTTGGTAAATAAAATTTTAGGGTGAGGGGAGGTTCTCCCATTCTAAGGTCAGGGCATGCGACAAGACTAAGTCAGAATCAAACTCGAGACCCTTTTGTCCATGCTGTTCAATCCTGCCAATGAAGGATCTTAAATTTGTTGTTAAAGGGATTTTACTTTGTCTTTTTGATATCTTTATAATTTGAGAACAATGTTTTTGTTGGGATCTCTCAAATCCTCATCCTGGTATTTCCTAATGATGTTTTGTTGATAGAGACTACCTTTTTCTTCAATTTACTGCGGTGGAGCTCCGTCTTCTTGCCAAGCACAGTGGTCAAAATCGAATATTGATTGCTGAAGCTGCTCCTATACCCCTCCTTGTTGATCTCCTCTATCTACCTGATGCTGGCACCCAAGAGCATGCAGTTACTGCTCTTCTGAACCTGTCTATCTGAGGATAATATGTGCCAGGAATCCTTCATGTGCTCAAAAATGGTAGAATGGAAGCTTGGGAAAATGCAGCAGCTACTTTTTTCAGCCTCTCTGTCGTGGATGAGAACAAAGTGGCAATTGTTGCATCTGGAGCAATTCAAGCACTAGTTACTCTTTTCTGCGAGGGAAGTCAAAGGTGGAGGGAGGATGTTGGAACAGCACTATTCAATCTGTGTTTATATAAAGGGAACACAGGACAAGCAATCAGGGCTGGTACTGTGCCCAATTTGATAGAAATGAATGCTTGCAGAACCTGGCGGGGAGATGAGGGATGAGGCATTGGCAATCGTGGCTGTACTAGTTAGCCACCCTGACGGAAAATAAGCAATTGGATCTATGAATGCTGTGCCCACTTTGGTGGAATTAATCATTAATGGATCTCCTAGGAACAAAGAGAATGCAACTTCAGTGCTGATGCACCTCTGTAGTGAAGATCCACTACATATCTCAATTGTTAGTTCACATGGGGTAATCAATCCACTACATAAGCGTTTGGAGACAGTTTTGAATATACTAGGAAAACTGTCAGTTAGATTTTAGGTGTTGCTGTTAAATAGCTCCTCATGAAAAGTCGATTTTCTAGGTAGGGTCAAGAAATCCTTATACGCAGTCTTATTTTTATATTTTTACAAAAAGACTGTTTCTTAGATTCGAATCCGAGCCATTTCGGTCACAACAGCAATATTTTAGGTGCTGTTGTTGCCATTGTTAATTGCAGCAGCTGACATAGAAACGGATTAAGTATATGATTTACAATAGATTACTAGTACAGGATCGCCAATATTTCCTTTTTATTTTTTATTGAGAAGGAAATTTCCCTTTTTTACCAACAAATTATTTTGTTGAATTGTATCACTTTTGCTGGAAAGCTTGTAAGAAGTGTTAAGGCGGCTATGTGACACAGTTGAAGTGCAGATATTTGTTTTTTGAAGAAAAAAAAAAGTTGTATTCCTTTTTTGCAGTGAAATTTCTTTTTAGCAGTTGATTACGTCATGTTTCTCTGTCTAAGTGGTGATCAAGATTCTTGTCTTTCGGTGGCAAGTCTCCTACACAAATTTTGGACCAAATGGCTGCAATATTATATTATGGGAAAAAAATTTATGCTGGTCAGCTCACGAAACAGACAAGTCTGTTGGGATCATTGTTGGTAATGCATGGTTACGTGATTCATCTTTCCAGGATAGGATATGTAAATCACATTGTCTTCTTTTTCGTTATGGCTGATAACGTTATTCTTACAAGAATGTATTTGAGAGAGAGAAAATAAATAAAGAACCACGATGCTGAAATAAGAAAAAGGCAGCTATTGCGTAATGTCAACTTATAACTTTTCCAAGTGCAATGTTTGGGACCATGAACGGTCTTGATCATGAAAACAATTTGCCAGATTTGTGGCTGCTATCTGAATGTAATTTCTTTTTCCAACTTTATTAATTATGAGTACATTACCTAGAGCTACCCATTTGCTTAATGCATGCATGATCTTAACCCTCCAAGTGGAGTCTCATTTTAAGTTCACATGAATGTGATAGATAATAATGGACTAAGATTTCGGGACTTTGACCAAAATAACACGCTTTGAATAATATTTTACCAGTATTCCACGCCCCATTTCGAATTTGTCAAAATGCCACGTTCAATCCCGCTACACCACCAAGCGAGACTGTAAGATGACACGTGGCGGTCAACCATAGAGCCCCGTTCCCGTTGGTCTGACAAGCTGGAATGGCTTGTCAATCAGACACTGTAAAGTTCTGAAAAATTCGCCACATGTCATGTTCCCACCATTCGCGCTGGTCAGACCAGCTAGATTGGTACACATCGTACAACTTCCTGACTTCCTGATGCATGTCGTACGCGTGGCTGGTTCTCCTTATTCGCGCTTGTCAGCAAAGCGGGATATGTGCAACTGTGCGTCTATATACTCCCACTCCCCAACCCCACCACCGACCCATCACTTTCATTTCTTTGATCTTTCCAATATTTTTTTCTCTCAAAACTCTCTTTCTCTCTCTCTCTGCGGACCACAGCTCCATTGAAAGGTTAGTTTATATTTAATAATTTTTTTTCTTTTAATTATCAGCATATGTTAAATGTTTAAAAATTATAGGATAGATGACATTAATAATTTGATTAGATGAAGTAGTAGTATAAGTTAATTTTGTATTGTAGTTAATTATTAAAATTAGTAATTAGTTTAGTATTTAATTTTGATATTGTATTTAGTATTAGCATTTATTAATAAAAAAGTATAGGATAAACATATAATTATTTTTTATTATATAAATTAGTAGAATAAATAAATTATAGGTTAGTTAATTTTTGTAATTAGTTATTAGGATAGTAATTTTTTATATTGTTGTGATTATTAGGATTTATTAATAAAGAAATTATAGGATCAAAGACATTGTTAATGTTAATTATAATATTTAGTTGAATATTATTTAGGGATTGTTAATTATCGTAATTAGTAATTAGATTTTGTATTCAAATTTAATTTTTTTAATAGTGGCATTTGCGAAAAAAAATTATAGGATAAAAATTTAATTATTTTTTTATTATATAAATTAGTAGAATAAGTAAATTTTAGGGGAGTTAATTTTTGTAATTAGTAATTAGGATAGTAATGTTTTTTTATTTTGTTGTGATTATTAGGATTTATTAATAAAGAAATTATAGGATGAAAGAGATTGTTAATGTTAATTATAATATTTAGTTGAATATTATTTAGGTATTGTTAATCATCGTAATTAGTAATTAGATTTTGCATTTAAATTTAATATTTTTTTAATTAGTAGCATTTGTTAATAAAAAATTATAGGATAAAAATTTAATTATTTTTTATTATATAAATTAGTAGAATAAGTAAATTGTACGATTTGAAATTTTTTTAATTAGTAATTCGGGTAGTAATTTTTTAATATTGTTTTTATTATTAGTATTTATTAATAAACAAATTATAGGATAAGAGACATTGTTAATGTTAATGACAATAATTAGTTTAATATTATTTAGGGATTGTTAATTATCGTAATTTTTAATTACGTTTTGTGTTTATATTTAATTTTTTTTTTTCAGTAGCGTTAATAAAAAATTATAGGATAAAAATGTAATTTTTTATTATAGGTTCATGGCATCCCCACCTGATTCACTGCACGGTTCACCGCCCTATGAGGACCATGCTCCCACACATCCCGGATCCCCTGACTCTTGTCGTAGGTTGATTACACCCGGGCCTATTGACCCGTCTCTCCTGACATTACAGGATAATCACATATCCACATACGTGTGGAATGGTGAGGCAGATCGGCGACTTAATGTCAGGATGGCGGCAACACACGATCCTATGCACATTCCTGAGGAGATTCATCCATACTTGAGGCAGGCAGGTTTCTTCCACGTTGCGCGGCTGCAACCATGATGTGAGTATATATTGTTTTGTTGATTTGTGTGCACAAGTTTTTGTACTAGTACTTTTTTTAATACATCACATGTATTTATTGTTCCAGATTGACCATGCGCTTATTTCTGCTCTCGTTGAGCGTTGGCGCCCTGAGACGCAGACGTCTCATATGGCCCACGGTGAGATGACCATTACTTTGGAGGATGTTCATCATCTATTGGGCTTGCCCACAGATGGTCATGTTGTTTCTGGTCGGGCTGGACAGCATAATTGGCGACAGCTGATTCGTGGATATCTTGGGCTTGAGCCAGCAGCAGTGCGAGATTTAAGTGGTGGGGGGGTTGAGTCTCCGTTGTTTGCATAAGGAATATGGTAACTATGCTATGAATAATGCCACTGAGCAGCAGCGCATTATGTATACACGTGCCCTGATCATGCGTGTGTTGAGGGGGTTGCTGTTCGTGGATACCGCCTCAAGTTATGTGCCTGTACGATTTTTATTATTCCTTGATGATTTTCATCGCACAGGAACTTTTAGCTGGGGTTCTGCGGTACTTGCTTATCTATATCGTGAGTTGGCTAGAGCGACAGACATAGCTCGCTCAGAGATGGGTGGATGTGTATTGCTTCTACAGCTTTGGGCGTGGAAGCGCTTACGCCGAGTCGCCCCTCCTCTTCCCGATGTGGTTGACCAAGAGGCCGTATACGGTCACAGGTACGAGACATATTGAGTATAGTTATGTCTTATGTTTGCCATAAAGGGGTTACTAATATTTTTTTTTAATTACGCAGGTTTAATGTATTTGATAGGCGACAACATCGATCCGCCAACTTGGAGAGAGTTCGGTTTCGCCTAGATGTTATACGCAGGCATGAGATTGTTTGGTTGCCGCATCGTAATTTTCATGCACACCATCTGAGTTCTGATCAGTCTCGCAGATGGCTAGCCATTTGTCCTCTTATTTATTACCACATCGTGGTGTACCAGCAGCCAGATAGGGTGCTCAGACAGTTTTGGTTTAGGCAGCCTATCCCCGCGCCCCCTGTTGACTGCCCGCCTGACATGTCTACTACCACCTTGAGGGGAAAGCCCGATGTGGACTGGACAGTTCGGTTTGCTGCTTATGTTGCCCAGTGGAATGACAGAGATCATCTAGTGGTGGAGAATCTTCATGCACTGGAAAGTGAGGGCCACTTATCTGTTAATAGCAGATATATTCAATGGTATAGGGGAGTGACCCGACGATGGCTGACTCAGAGGGCTGCTGAGGCATCACATGTGGTATGTTATTATGCATATTATTTTTTTAAACATATATTTTATGAAACCTTAATTCTTGATTTTTATATGGATTATTTTTTTACAGGCCGATCGTGTGGAGACTGTATACTACATGGTGCAAGAGCAGTCTCAGAGTGCTTTCTCGATGGAGTCTCTCCGTCATGAGGCAGAGCGGGCTTTGAGTGCTGTCCATGAAGGAAATAGGATCACCGAGCCTGTAGAGGACTTGCCTCCACCGAGTGTCCGTCACACATAGCGACCCCTTCACGAGCCACACATATCTCGACGGGCACGTATTGACGGACATCCTTTACACCACACTCTCAATCACCGACCGACCTTTATTTGTGCCTGTTCTTCCCCAGCGACCACCAGGTTTATTTTTTCCACCAGGCTTTCCTTCAGGGCCTTCGCAGTCGTACTATTGCCCATCTGGGCCTTTGTCGCAGTATTGTCCAGGGTCAGCTTATACAGCTTCTTCTACCTTTGGAACACATGCACATATAGCCCATCCCAGTCCCCAGTACCATGGAGAGGCCAGTTCACAGGCAACATTCATGGCCACACCGGCACACATATGGCAGGGAGAGAGCAGTTCCCACTCGAGTCAGGGCTTAGACAAGTTTGTTGAGGGATACAGGGTCCAACCCCTTTTTTTTTTACTCCTACACCTATAGCATATGCCACCAGCATCATGCAGGATGTTGGGGGCAGTTCCATTCCATCCTTTTCACGAGAGAGTCTTGAGCGAGGATGGAGGACCCCTTGCAGGACCCTACGTAGGGTGAGGTTAGACCAGCTGAGCAACACGGAGGTCTGCGAAGGAACCCTGAGAGAGAGGCCAGATTTAGATGTAACCTCTCCCCATACGATCATGACCCGAGATTCTGCCATGGTGATCATGGACCCCATTGACATGTTGATTTATGTGTAGCATATGTTGGCTCATGTATGATGGCCATTTAGCTTATTATGGACATTAGACATCATAGCATATATTTTTATGTTATTTTGGGTCATGTACATTGGACATTTATGTACGTATTTATGGTTAGGTTATTTTGGATGATGTACGGTGGACATTAGGCAACCGTATTTATGGTTATGTTATTTTGCATGTTGTAATTGTCGTATATATGTTTACCTTTATTTTGGATGCTGTTATTATCGTATATATGTTTACCTTTATGGCATACTAATTGATGTAGTATAAACATTTCGGCTTACTATTATATTATCGATTAAAACATTTGCCCTTATTTTGTAACCAAAGGATGACTTAGATACGTGCAGTTACTATTTTATATAATAATAAACCTGCAAAGTTACATAGTATTTTATACCGTGAATGCAACATAAATTATGTCTGCTCAGTAGGTTGGCCTCTTGGACAGTTACGCTTATTGTGCCCCACAACTACAATAACCACATCGCGTATGAATAGTTGACCCTTCACGTATGTCCATCTCGTTTTGTATACGACTACTTTAAGGCCTTCCTTTCTTACGCCGCATCAACACATTTGGAATCACAATTGGTCCCTGACTCTGTGGGATAAAATCCTCATTGCCAATTGGGTACCATTACCCTGCGTATACCTGACATTGATATGTGGCACTGTAAGCCGGATCAACTTATTGCATTGGATCGTGATTTGTGGATGTGCATGCTGCTATAACATGACTACAGGGGTATCTAAAAGCAGTAAATTCACCGCATTGACATGTTCGATCAGGTAATGAAACCGACCATTTCTTTCCACCACGATGAGTTCTTTGATTGTACGATTCTTGCACTTCAAATCGTGTCTTCTGAGGGTCATAAACTGTTACCCAGTGTGTTACGGCATTTTGCTGATTTATCTCATACGCTTGCCAAAAGACTTTTGTGAAACGATTTCCCCTGGTCATTTCCTCACGTGCCTCTTGGCCGTGTGTCACAAAATATGAAACCAATCGGGCATATGTGAGTTGCACCAATGCCGTGATAGGAAGGCTTCTTCCGCCCTTAAGGACTTTATTAACACACTCTGACAAGTTTGTAATCATGTGACCAAACCTTCTGCCACCTTCATCGTATGCAATACTTCATTTCTCTTTCGGAATACGATCTATCCAGGCAGCTATTTGAAGTCCTGCTTCTTTAAATTTTTCCAAACTAGCGTCAAAATCTAACCGGCTAGTTGTATAACCTGCATATAGTACGTATGGCATAAGTGTATGACATATCTCAACACCAAATAAAAGACATTACAAGAATTGTAACATGTAAAGTTACCTAACTTCTTCAGTTGCTTCTTTAACATAATGTTCTTGAACTTATGGTTGAAATTATTACCAAGATGCCGTATACAGTACACATGGTACACTTTAAGTGGCTGCCATCCCAACGTGGCATTGTTGACGGCAGATATAATGCCCGCATGTCGATCAGATATAAGACAAATGCCTTCTTTTTGTGTCACGTGCATTCGTATTAGGGCTAGAAACCAAGACCAGTCTTCAAGATTCTCCTCTTTTACCACGACAAATGCAATGGGTAAAACGTAATTGTTTCCATCAACCGTAGTTGCTATTAATAGGGTCCCCCGATATTTACCTTATAAGTGCGTACCATCTATTTGGAATACAGGTTTGCAATAATTGAAGGCATCAACACACTGTTTGAAAGTCCAAAAAACCCTTTCAAACACCTTTCGAGATTGATCCAACCGGTTGTCAACAAAATGATCATTAAGATCCAGCTTATATACAGCCCCAGGTGAAAATTTCAACATGTAGTCTAACCACCTTGGCAAAAAACCATATGATTCATCCCAATCCCCATAAATTTTGACAATTGCTTTTTGCTTCGCCTTCCAGGCCTTCCTGTATGATATATGAAATCCATGATTTGTTGCTATCCTTTCTTGGATGAGAGAAATTTTCACATTTGGCTCCTCCCTTATCATTTCTGCATTTGGATGTACAATTAGTTTGTGATAACTTAGTTATATAAAATCGCAGATTGTAATAGATATACATACCTATAATCATTGAACATATGAAATTTGAATCCAGCTACTTGTGGTCTTGAGAAAGAGTTTGGTTAACACAGTTATGTTCGTTAACCCACTTGCCGATAATCCATTTTGTCCCTCCCTTTTTAACGTGTGCCCTCACCCTCCACGGACAACTGTTGTTGTGATTTTTGCAAACCATGATTAATCTTTTCGTATCACTTTTACATACAATGGCGGTGTGGTGCTGCCCCATACAAAATTGTTTGATCGCCATCTGAACATCGTGCTTGTTGTCAAACACCTGGTCTTTATACAGCTCATGACCCATCTTCCAGTTAGGTACTTGTGCTCCATCTATTTCTGGCAACTCCTGATCTGGGTGAGCCCAATTTATACGCCTAAAATGACTTATTTGAGACCAAAATGGTGTATGTCCTTCACCTGTATCAGCAGTGCATTAATAATGTATATGAATCAACATGCAAGTATGTATAAGCACAAATGTTTTTATATTTACTAATCTGCCACTTTGGGCTCGTGCATTCCAACAATGCCCGGAGAAGGAACCGCATAACACACAGCGGTGGACGGACATGAACCAAAATCTACATCCATGTCGGTGTCCGAGGAGTCACTGCCCGGGACTAACCCTTCGTCCACCTCTTCGTTGGAACTGTCAGTACGCCATGCCGGATCAAACATATCGTGAGCAACATCATATTCTGCACACATTGGTTCGGGAAGGGGTGGTTCAGGTGACACATTTCTGTCTTCAGGACTCACAACTGGCTCCATGTTAATGTCAATAACGTTAATTGAAGGGAGAGAATATTGAGGACTCATAACTGGCTCCATATTAATGTCAATAGAGTGAGTGGAAGGGAGAAAATGTTGACTGCTACACTATCCACGGGAGTCTACTTCTGCGTATAGTTCAATAAATGTGGAGTGTGAATGATTTCGAAATGCATCTACCACTAAAGCAACATCTTCATCCTCAACGATCTCTACATGAACCCAACTTTCAGGTCCCGAAGCACATCTAGCAGTCAACCGAGATAAAACTTGGCCTCGTTGTAATCTCAACTTATGATATATTGTCTTCTTTAGTTCATTAAAACTACACCGCGGGCTTATACGAAATATTTTTGTTTCTCCTTCAAAAACTTGGCCATTTGGACCCTAATATTTTCTCCCATTGTAATATAACAAAGCAATTACTGAATCATTACCGTCACTCATTTTCTAACTAATAACATAAAATTACAAAAATAAATAAATGAGTACATAATCTAACCTTCTCAATTTTGGCGCACCCTTTTTTTACTTCTTCTGGTTGCTGGAATGTTCATGTTTTACTACTATTTATAGAAGAACCAAACTTGGGAGGCAGCCCAGCGAGAATAAAGGGGTGCTGACACGTGTCGGGAAAGTACGACCCAAACCAGCTAGGCAACCCAGCGCAATTCAGGGGGTGCTGACACGTGTCTGAAGGTACACCCAATCTAGCTGGGTTGACCAGCGCGAATGGCGGTAGGGTGACATTTGGCCTGCTTTGCAGAACGTACAATCAATACAGCTAGACTGACCAAAGTGAATGGTGCGAGGGTGACACGTGTCTTGCTTTTCAGAGTGTGCAGACTGGTTGATTGACAAACCATTCTAGCTTGTCAGACCAGCGGCAATGGGGCTCCATGGTTGACTGCCACGTGTCATCTTACAGTCTCGCTTGGTGGTGTAGCGGGATTAAACGTGGCATTTTGGAAAATTCAAAATAGAGCGTGGCATACCGGTAAAATATTATTCAAAGCGTGTTATTTTGGTCAAAGTCCCCTAAGTTTTCTGTACCCATCAGTTCTTGGTCATCATCATTTTATTTGTTGGAGTGTGTTACTCCATTAATGCTTGCTGGCTAAGTATGCACTTCATTTATGAGTGCATGGCTCAATATCTGCTCAACCACTTTATCAAACACTATCCATCTCATTATTGATAAAGATTATAGAATAAGGGGTAGGGTTTTTTCCTCACCCTTATAACCTTAAGAAATCCTTTGTAATTATATTATAGAGAGACATTGTATGAGCATGTGTGAATCCTTTGAAGAGAAGTTCAAGTGTGAAACTTCTTTAGAGAAGAACTTTGTAACCATTATTGTTGGTGAAGGTTGAATGTACTTTTAATGTGACTAAGGAAATTTGAATCTTTTGTAATCCTACTATTTCATAGTGGAAGATTTTCTGGATTAGTGTCCC